CAAATCTAACGGACTACATGAGTTCATATGTGAATGGAACAATATAAAGCTGACCCATTATCAGAAAAGAAATATCCTCTGCAAGTTTCATACGTGAGAAAGACTTGAAGAAAGCTATTTGAGACTCCAATAATTATTAATTAGTGTGTGAATGTGTGAACAAGGACAAATCTAAATAAATTGGTCACTCAGAGAAGTATGAAACTTTCATCGGACAATCCTAGGAAAAGCAACCAATCCAATCTTCAATTCAATTGTATCAAATAACCTCTTCCCCACCCCACCCCACCAGAACACAGGGTAGTTAGCTCTAGAAGACAAGGAAAAAGGACAAAGTGGGAAAGGATACATACTTGTTAGTTGCAGGAGCGTTCCAGGAAGTGAACCATCCCATAATGAACAAGACCAGCCCATGCACGAATCCTGTGGATGGGTCATCAGGCAACACCAGAAGCAAAATAGCAGCAAAAGGAATGGCTGAACCCGCGCTTATCTGTGAAAGAACTATCCTCCCAGCATTGGGAAAGGGTTTTGCAAGAACATCGCCCATGATTCCTCCAAAGACACTTCCAAGTGAGCCACCGATTATAAATATGGTCCAAAGAACTGCCGTTTCTTTGTGGGAGAAACCAATAAGTTCTAACCACAACGGAGCAAATGACAAACCTGACCAGGGGAATGATCCAAAGACACCCTGAGCAATTAGTATTTGAAAAGACGGGATTCTAATAACCGACTTTGCTTCAATAATCAGGTCTTTCACTTCTGATGAAAAAGGCTTATGTGAAGTTTTATCTTTAGCTCTACCATTGCTCTCTAAGTAGTGTGGATCATTGGCAAAGAGGCGAACCAATATACCGACTATGACACTTATGAGTCCAACCAAATGGAATGCTATTCTCCAGCCAGGTATACCCATGAATGTAGTGGACGCTATTAGTACAGAACAAAGACCACCAATTATCGAGCCAAGGTTTCCTGTTAGTTGTAACCATCCAAATGCTGTACCCCGGTTGCTCTCATCAGTTGAGTCCGCAACAAGAGACTGAATAGCAGGAGTGACAACGGCAAGTCCAATCCCATTTAATCCTCTTGAAACAGCCACCTAATCAACCAAATCAGACAACTAAGTGTTGAATTGTAATCTGGTAAGTCAAACTGCAAATAAACGAAATTCACTACGCAGGAAGAATTTGTTACCTACAATTTTCAATTACACCTTATAAGTTTATGTTAAAAAGTTTTAGAGCTTGTTTACTTTTAATTTGTTTAAGCTTTATTATCTCGTATCAAGACTTGTGAGCTTCATGATAAAACATGCACTCATCTCTTTGCCCCTCACCACGACAAGCACAGCATCTTAGTATAGCTTTGAATTTATGAGTCATGAACCAATTACTTCTCTTGAAAACAATGAAATGTGCAGCAACACTTGATTGGTATCAATATGCAGCATGAGCTTCGGAAGTCATGGATGAGCAAAGACTAAATTTTACTAAAAAGGAAAGAAACAGCTGGGTTATCAAGCACTATCATTAAACTTACTGTTTTAGGACAATTGCATTTGCGACTTTAGACTTTTGATGTAAAACA